AGTAGTCCTAGTTCAGAAAGAGAACAAAAAGGAAAGATTAAAAAGGAACCACTAGGTTTTCCTTCAATTTCATAGGAAATAATAAATAATGTTCTTTGGGTGTGGGGGTGGTGTTTGTTTGCTTGTTTTTTCCCTTTCTTTCAAGATCATGCCTCTCTTTGGGATGTTATTGCAAAAAATAATATATATATATATATATATATGTAACACATGGGACTCTGGGCTCACCAGCTAATTCTGTGTTCATGTGGCATTGCTTTCCACCCCACCCACATCCCACAGCAATCAATACCAATGGATCAGGGCAGCAGGACTGCCAAGGTGGTTCCCCAGATGCAGGTGGACAAACCACAGGGCACCAGGATACCACAAATGCATTGGTGCATCCGGGAGCCTCCGATGCTTAGGTAGAAAGGCAACCACACTTGGTTAAAAGCACCCTAGTGACCTGAGCTGGTAATCTACCCTTTCTCTTCTCGGCCGACACTGAACCCAAAGACAAATGGAAGGAAACAACCACACAAACTATAATTGTATCTACGACCTTGAGATTTGAGAGTACATGTTCCCCTTTCCAAATATGTAGCTCTTTCCCCATGAACCGCCAAGAGCAGGGGCTTTCCGAGAAGCTTTGGGAGATCACAGGCCCATGAAGTGCTGAATACACAAGGGATCACTCCGCCAGGAAGGGTCATTTTGTGAAGATGTGTCCACACAGCCCAGCTGTGTACACAGAGAGGTGGCAGGAGAGCCGGTAGGAGGGAATTGGTACCGGAAGAGGCCATCTTTCTCCTCCTCAACAAGCCGGTGCTTCACATGAATGATCACTTTCCCAGTCTTTCAACCCAACTCCACAACAAATTTAAAACCTACTAGTGACTTTCTAATTAGGCAAGCATCAGGTGGAGTTATGTATATATGCATACTGATGTATATGAAAAATAAAATTGTCTCCATAAAGATAGAAGCCCATCACACAACTTTTAAAGAAACCAGTGTTTTTGTTTTTGTTTTTTTAAGGATCAGACAGCTTTTCAAACTCAGCTTCAAACTAATTTAATGTTCCTCCGTAGGGGATAAGCAAAGTTAATATGCTGGTGATTAATGGCAGGCAGAAAACATCTACTGACCAGGGTCTACTAGAAACGACTCCACGCTCTTTAACAGTCTGACGGACGACAAGGAAACATGTTCATAAAAAGAATGAAGGTTCCCCTTCCACTTCCCAATTCCCACATTGACCAAAATTACTCCCTATTTTACACAATCCATGTTCTAAAATATTAGATTCTAACCAAACCACCACTGGGAGTTTGAGGAGGAATATCTATTCCTACATGACTTCAAAGTTGAAGTGATTTGAATTCCTTTTCTCTTATTTTCTTTTTTCTTAATTTTTTTAAGTTAATCCCCAAACAGGACTTCTTTAAACTGTGCTAGAGCAAGCATGTCCCTTTGAAGACTAATCTGCTCCTGGCCCAATATCGCTCCGTATGCGTGTGCAAGGACGCAGTACAAGGAATAAGGAACCGATGCCTTTGAATGATGGCGCTGGTGAAGAACACTGAGCGTAGCACGGAGGGCCGCCAGACCCGCCAGTCTTAGAAGAAGTAGAGCCAAAAATGCTCGTTAGACAAGCGGAGAGCAAGACTTCTCCCCGTGCATTTTGGACAAGTCACCATGAGAAGCCAGTCCCTGGAAAAGGACACCAGGCTCAGTCAAGTTGAAAGGCATCATCAAGGAGATGGATGGACAGCCAGGACTCCCCCTAACAATGACGGTGAGCGTGGCACAGGAGGGGCAGCGTTCTCCTGTTGCACACCGTCGCTAGGCGTTAGAATCAACTCCATGGAACCGACTAACGACGCAGCACGCCCGGCTGGCTTTCACGGGAGCAAAATGAGAAGACAAGAGATTTCACAGACCGACGAGTTCAAGCGGGAACAGTCTGCGGCTCACGTGTTTAAAGAGACTCGCAGCGGGGATTAGACTTGTCAGAGGAGAGAGTGGCAGGGAATCTCAAAGGGGCTGCCGTGCAGACACACCGAGCGCTGTGCTATCAAGGGCCACGCCGGTTCCCGGGTAGTTGTTCGAGAAAGAAAAACAACACAAGGAGTTGGAATATCCACAGACATGAGCATCTGTCGGTCAGGAAACAGCCATTTCTTTTTCAAAGGTTGCACTATAAACTCTCTGTGGATAGCTTTAAAGCTTGGATTCTTTCAGGGGAGGGGTGTTGAAATTCTATGAGAGATGATGGAAGATGAATGTAACTGAATGGTTTTAAAATAAAGAGTAGAAGAATTCAAAGAAGCGGATAGCAGGTCCACAGAGGCTAAATCTCAAGTAGTCAGTCTTGCCCCTGTCTCTACATTAAGTTGACTTGTGGAACATTTGAAAAATCCCTGATATTCAGGCCCCGCTTCAGACCAAGGAAGTCAGAATCTCTGAGGGTGAGGTGTAGGTCACAGTGTTTTTGAAAGCTCGCTGGGGTGTGGGGATGAGCCAAGAGAGCTGGGAGCCAGTGGGTGAAATAGATGATTCACAGGGGGACTTGCTTTCTGAAACTATTCACACCAGCCTCGTTCTTAACCAAAGTGTTTGGAAGTATCGAAACTCTTGGGCAAAGGGGCAAGTGGGAGGGTCCTTTGAAGACACTCCCCCAGGTAGAGCCTTTGACATCCCCCTCTTCTTGAGGACTCTTGGTCTTGGCAATCCCAGATGAGGCCTCGCTTCACCCAGATGACTTCAAACACTTGAGGATAAAGGTGAAATGACATCAAACTCCAGATCCGCATGAACGCAAAAGGCCAACATCATGAGCCCCCCTCCAACCTGGCAGGTGTACCACCACCTCCAGCACAGTAGCAGAGGAAACACAGAAAGGAGGACCCATCTCAGTCATAGGACCCATCCAACAACTTACCGCACTAGAGCTCACTGCCCGGCCTTCTCTCTCTCTGGCCATGCAACCCAAACAGAAACAACCGCCGGGCAGGCTCAGATTCATTGGGAAAAGGACCAAGGGAGCGATGGTAGAAGGAGTCCAAGAGGCCTTCACTCCATCAGCGGCAGTTGCTGTATCTCATCACTTTCCCAGTAAGAAATCACAGCACTTATTCCAAAAAAAATGCCAGTCAAGGAGTGAACCGGGAGGAAGGAGTGGCTTTACTGGCCTCTGTGCTTCCAAAAGCATTCAGAGTTCTAGCTCCTTCCTGAGCAGTAACTGCCCAGAACTACTGCTCGCAGAGGCTCACAGGGTCTCACTACCATCTCTAACTCTCCTTCCTCCCAATTGCAATCTATCTGTTGCCCGATGCCCAAGTGAACTGTCTGGTGCTAATGTGGGTGCTTTACCTCTGGCATCCTGTCTTGTTTTGCTTTTACCCAGCAGCACTGGACGCCATGGTCATTAGGATCAAGTTATGCCAGGACCCACTGTTGCCATGCCGACAGAAATCACTAGACTTTCCAGAGCTCAGGTGTCTCTTCTTTTACTTGCCTAGAATCCACTGGCAATTTCCATGAAACAAAACATGTAGCGTATTACTGTGACTGCTTCATGTTGTCCTGGGTGAGTCACATGTGCTGAGAAAGCCCTCTACGGTGTTCAAAAGCAAACGTGCGATTGTGAAGAATAAGGTGTGCATGACCCAAGACGTGGTGTTAGCAACTGCCTCATATGCATGTGAACATTGGACAACGAATAAGAAAGACAACAAATGGAAACCTCTGAATTATTGTGTTGACAAAGAAGAATAAGTGTACCATGGACGGGCAGGAATGCAACAACAACACGGCTGTCTTGGAAGACGTACTGCCCGAATGGACTTTAAAATTGAGGGCGGCAAGACCTCATCTCACATATTTTGGACATGCTATCAGGAGGGACCAGTCCCCAGAGAGCATCATGCATGGAAAAATAGGGAGTCGGCTACAAAGAACAAGAACCTTCCAGAAGATAGGTGATACGCTGGTTGCCAAAACGGGCTCAAAGGTAGCCATGATCGTGAGGATGACCGAGGGCCCGGCAGGGCTTCCTTGTGTGGGGCACAGTCTCACTATGAGTCCGAAACCACTTGAATGCAGCTAATGGCCACAGTCACCGCCCGGCTTATTCCCTCTTGCAACTCCAAGTCTCTTTGGATTCCTTCCTTAGATCCTCAACATTAGCCATGGATGCCCTCACAGACAATGATAACCAGAGTAGGCCGATAATACGTCAAAAACAGGACTTCTAGGAGCTCAAGTAACAGACTGCTCACTATCTTCTCACCCAGAGTGATTCCTTGCACCTTTTCCACTCCCTATCCCTAGACTTCCAATGGGTGCCAGCTGCCTCTGTCTCTACTCTCATCAACACCAAAGTGCTCCCATCTCTTATAAAGGTATCTCACGCTGGGATAACAGTCTGCATACAGAGTCCTGGGGGTGCAAGGGTTAAGCGCTAAGTGGCTACCCAGAATGCTTAAACCTACCGTGCCGTTGCGTGGGATAAAGACGTGGGATTCTGCTCCTGTAAAGATGACCGTCTTAGAGACCCTACAGGGAAGGTCTACTCTGTCCCACGGGGTGGCACCCAACAGCAGCAATGGTGCGAAGAATGTTCCTTCTTCTTGAGCCCCCTCCCCTCCACGCACCCTCACTACTTCCCCTTTGCTGGAAACACGCACCCAGTCTCAACTCAGAATCTACCATGTCCATAAAAGCCTGTCCCATTTCTGCTCTCTTGGGCTCACAAAACCACTCGTGCACATCTCCATCATTGGGCCTGCCCTATTGTCCCACGATTACTAATGGACGAGGGTCCTCTACTGGGTTCTCAGCTCCCTGAGGGCAGGGACTGGGGTCTGGTCCTCGGTGATCTCCAGCATCAAGCGTACACTGGACACATGCTTTCGGAACGACGGGATGCACAATCGACCTGGCCTGATGGTGCAAATTCATAAGCACGTGTCTTTGTCCTTTGCACTGACACCAGGGACCTGAGGCGCTCTTACCACTGAGAGGTAAAGTCAACAAATTCTGCAGAAAACTTGTCTGCTGGGAGTTGTGGCGATGGCTCTTCTACCACCTGTTTGAGCTGCTGGAAGGGGGTTCCCCAGGAATCATAGGGAAACCGGAGGATGGCCAACTCAATCTGGGAGGGGAGAAGGAAAGAGGCAGAGGAAAACAAGTTTACACAGGGCTGCTTTAGGGAAGCAGGTATGCTTTATCCCCAGAAAACCAGAAGGAAGTACAAGGGCAACGTTCAAGTACAGCTAGAAAGGTAGGAAAGGAAGCCAACTTAATACTATATACTCAAGCAGATGTCCCACAATCCCTAGGGATGGGGATTTTCAAAGAGTATCTCCCTTGATGTGGTTGTTGGGTGCCATTCAGTTGGTTCTGACTCCTTGCGACCCAGGGTGCAACAGAAGGAAATGCTGCCCCGTCCGGCTTTCAGCACCACGGATTCCAACAAATTTCCCTCTATCACTAGGGATAGGGACTTGCGAATATGGTCTTACTAGAGGCAGTAACAAGGAGCTCCGGTGGAGCAGTGGCATAAGCGTGGGGCTGCTAGCCGCATGGTCAGCAATTTGAAACCACCAGCCACTCTGTGGGAGAAAGAGAAAGTTTTCAACTCCGGTAAAATGTTAGTCTTGGAAACGCCCATTCAGGGGCCAGTTCTGCCCTGTCCTATAGGGTGGCTATGAGTCCGAATTAACTCAATGGCAGTGAGTTTGAGAGGCAGAAATTTCAGTGTATTTAAAACTGAGTCACCAACTGAAACACCCCCATCCACCCCTACCCCCCCTCCCACCCTGTGGCCCATAATAAAACTCACAAGCCAACAGGATTCAACATGTTGCAACAACCTGACTGTCAAATGTTTGATCTGAAAAGTAATTCTCCCTCTAAGATCTCTACAGAGCTGTCGATCTGTAGGCCCCTTGCTAGAAGGGAAATAAATAAATAAACAAACAAACCAAAATAGCCTGTAAGGCCAAATGACTTGTCTTTTTTTGGACCTGAATAAAGGCCACTTTGCCATTATGAGATCATATGTTTTCTGGGCAGAGGACATGAATAACTCCCAGTATTTAATCAGCTGCTGTCCTTGGGAAGGAGCCAGGACCACAGGGGATAACTCCAGACCTTGGTGATACACTGAACATTTATGATCACCTGGGTTACTAACGGAGAAGTTGCAAGTTCAAGTCTTCCAGGAGGTACGTTGGAAGAAAAATGCGGTGACCTGCTGCCGAAAAAAAGCCGGAGCCTTTGAAACCCCTATGGAACATAGTTCCATTCCAACACACAGGGGGTCGCCCTGAATTGATGTTGACGCAACTAGTTAGGAGCAGAATGGAGAGAAAGACTGGGTTTGTCTAATACCAGGTGCGTGTTTTCATTACGCATGCTGCAAGCCCTTGTCAGGGAAAATCTCCTGCTATCTCAGGCAGGAAAGGATGCCCAAGGCAGGCCCTTGGAGTATTTGTCTCTGGGTCCCAGCATCAGAGCCATGTTCCATGTCTCTCCTAGAATCTCAGAATCCACGAAGATCAGCATACGCTACCATTGTGATGCCCAGACTCCAGATGTCGGATTTCACGCTGTATCCCTTCTGGTTGAGCTCTGGGTTTATCCTTTCAGGCTGGAAAGAAGGCAGAAGAAGACACCTGTGATGGGATTCTTAGCTCAATAAATTCTTCGGGGTTGGGGGGGCGGGGGTTGGAGGCAGGTAAACCACTGCCACATGTGTTGTTATAAGCTGTTTTCATCCCTCTCCAGCCAAGGAGACTTGCTAATGATGATAAACAACCATCTCCCCACGGGGTTTCCCATGTTCTACGGTAGTCTCCTGTGAGCTAGGGCAATTAATCAAAGTGCCTTCATAAATCAGAACGAATTTCCACTTTACGCAAGAAGAAGGGAGGTGTGTGTTATAAAGCTACCCTCCAGTCTAGAATCAAGCTGACTGAAAACACCAACAGTCCAGAACTCAGGAAGAGGACTCACGGGGGCTCCATAGATGGAGCGCTCAGCCCAGATGGAAACTTACAGCCAACGAGTTGATTCCAACCCATAGCAAACCTCTACGACAGCAGTTCTCAACCTGAGGGCTGTGACCCCTTTGGGGGTCCAACGACCCTTTCGTATATTTCCAATGGTCTTAGGAACTGAGTCACTGCTCCTCTATCTGTCTCCAGGCGGGTCCGCCCACGTGCAGATACGCCCACACACGGGGTCACCACAACATGAGGAACTGTATGAAAGGGTGGCGGCATTAGGAGGGTTGAGAACCACTGCTCTAGGGCATAATAGAACTGCCCCTTTGGGATTCTGAGACTGTAAATCCTTATGGGATCAGAAAGCCTCAATTTCCCCCTGAAGACCAGTGCGGGATGTGAACTGCTAACCCTAAAACTAGCAGCTTAATGCTTACGGTTAGCAGCCCGATGAGGAGCCCACTAAGCCCCCAGGGCTCCTGGATGACTGGGGTAGTGATAAAGACCTAAACGGCTCTTCAGTGGTGGGAACAAGTTCTCTGCTGACAACCATGAACCTTCATAGTCATGAGCTTGTCCCAGGAGGAACCTGACCAACTAACTGGTTTGGGCCGTGGTACCGCTCATCAAGCAGGACTATGCACTTCCTTCCATTCAGTGTGGGAAAGCGTGCAGGCTCTGTTGTTTTCCAAATACTAGAACAAGGCTGGCTTACTGATTTACATAAGAAAAGCCATGCCTGTGAATCAATTCACCATGGATTGCAGGCAGGAAATACTCCCACTATAAAACCATGGAAGGCAGAAACCTGTCAGAGAAGGAAAGCTGCACCTATTTTCCACTACCGAGAGTGGTGGAGAAAATAAACAAATAATCTCACACATAAAAGCACAACAGATAACGAAATAAACATGGACAGGCTGCAACCCTTCGAACGGGGACAACTTTGGAGAGTCCGAAGACCAAGGCAGTGCCATGGGGTTTCGGGGGCCCATGCTTTGCTGCATTTAGGATTTACAAAGATGCAGCTCTTTCTGGGGTCTTGGACAAGGCAGGGGAGCAGCACGTTTTCCTGTCCCTCTAGGGCTTTCCACTTCCTCTTGACTGGCAGCTGCGGCAGACTCCACCCCCAGCTTACGGCCATGTAGGGTTTGCATCCAGCGTCGATCGTCTTAGCTACGGAGTCCACAAGGTAGCCGCTGATTCCGAAGTCGCACATCTTCACTTGGCCCAGAGCATTGATGAGCACGTTGGAGGGCTTGACGTCTGAAAGCAAAAAAAAAACAAAAACCACCCAGGGCCGTCACTCCGCGAACATGCACCTCTCCACCACCAGAGGGCCAGGAATCTCCATTTCTCTTTCACCTGTGTCCACACAGCCCGACACAGACCAACAGGTCCCTAACTCACTGCCACCAGCCTGCGATGGCATTGGCCTGGGTTTTGTTTCACGTGTCGCCCGGCTTGCAGGACCGTGAAACGGGAAAGGACCGTGAAACGGGAAAGGCCGTTTCCTCTGCTTAGTGTATCAACTCCGCACTTGCACTCACTGCCATGGGCCGCATTCCAATTTATAGACCCTGAAGGGCAGGGTAGAACTGCCCCCTGTGGATTTCTGAGACGATAACTCTTGACGGGAGTAGAAACCTCCATCTTTCTCCCAAGGAACGGCTGGTACAGCTGGTGGTTTCGAACTGCTGGCCTTTAAGATTGCGGCCCAATGCATAACCACTACGCCACCAGGGACTTCTCAGTGTACTACCATTGACCCCGCCCCCAAGTTGATAATTAAAAAAAATTTTTTTTAGTATTACTGAATCAAACGCAGTGGAAATGTTATCATAGCATACCTCGAGTGTATGAGTAATTGATTCTGGAATGGGGAGTTACATGATGTCATACTGTGACACAAAACCCAATCAAAGCAGCCAGTTTTGATTGACATCTTTGCAAACAGTGTACCTACCAGAAGTCACATAGTTTACAGAACCCCGCACTCCCCCCTGCGGTCATAAACCCAGATGACAGGGCAGGTCCCAGACTACAGGTACTCTCTGATCTGCCATGGGGAAGACAATGAACTCCCTTGCCGCTTGGTTCTAACATAAGTTGAACACCTCTTTAAATTTTTTTCTGTTTTAGTTTTCATTATTATGGCCTTTAAAAAAGCCCAGTATCTTTAGCAATACAACCCTCCTTTGTCTTTGAACCTCTGTGGGTGAACATCTGAGAAGAATAATGTAGGAAAATGATGAGCTGCCATATGGTATGGAGTATATGAGAACATGTACCCCCCCAAAAAACCCCCAAACCTCAGATGTTCAGTGCATTTCATTGTAACTCGAATCCATAGTAAATGGAAGCCTGCCTGTAGACACGTGGATGAAGGCGTATTATTGAACAGCCTTCAAGTGAAACCTTCAGATGAGAAAGATAGAACTTACCCAAACACCCACACCTTCACCCCCAAAGTGAACTGTGGTTATTTTTCTCTTGGTAAGAGAATTGGAAGTGACCATCACTCCCCACCCCCTTGTGACACTTTTCAGAAAGGACATGTAATCTAGAAGACAAGCATTGTGAAAACAAAGTTCAAAATGGACCCTCTATCATTTTCTCTTAGATGGAATTGCCGACATACCTCATATACATGCAACTGTGTATGTTCCTTAATGTTGACGAACTAGTTCAATGATGAATGGTTGGGTGGGTGGATGAAAAAGTGAGTCAGAGGGAAGGGGGGAGAGATGAAGATGCCATTTTATTGGCCCCCTGCTGCCTGAAGGGCTTGTGCTTTCTACATAAGCTTTTCATACTTAACTAGACCGCTAAAAACGCAGATTCACATGCATCTGGTCTTGAGATCAGTGATTCTGCTTTACGTCAAGGTCCCAGGTGATGGTCGTTACCAGTTGCCTGTTCATTCTAGTCTCTAAAATTCTCAACAATACCCCAGCTGTTGCTTGGTAACAGGCATTTTACGGTCAATGTAGATAGAAAGGAAAAAATAAAACAAAAACAAACAAAAGACCCAAGTGAAAAGAATGAACTTCACAAAAGGAGCAGGCTGGACAGCTCTCTGATGCTCACCTCGATGAATGACAGAGAGTTTACTATGTAGATGTTCTAACGCCTTAACAATCTGCAAAAGAAACACAAGATCACTCATTCACCCCATCGCTGGAAGGGCATGAAATGTCAGTTATATACAGGTGTATTAGGCTTGGCTTCAAATCATAGTGGGCTATTTTCCTCAAGATTAGCCCTATCAAGGAAAATGCACAGGAAATCACAGGACAAAGAGGGATGGATGAATTGATGGGTGGATAACTGGAGGCACAGGACTCCATTGGCTGAAGAAACTATCTTATGGTAGAGAGGACCTCTCATCTGCCTTGTTTTTCATTTGGCCTCAAACATTGTTATTTAAAATCTGGTGAACATATTCACACATCCACTCACCGTGTCAACCATGTCTACATGTACAATTCAGGAACATCTATTACCTTCCTCAAGTGGTGCACACCATCTCACCATCCTTCTCAAACTGTCCCACCACCTGTGACTTACACTCACGGCCCTCTAAGCTTCTCCTCTAATCTCTAAGGCTGCCCTTGTCCATTTGATCTCATGCAGATAATTCTTTAAGGGGGCCCAAGGTAGACAATTCTTTGGAAGATCACACACATTTATTTCTTAAGATAAACTATCGGGGGGGCTCAAGAAAGACTTCAAGAAATCATTTTGATTTCCGGTTTATCAAGATCTTCTCAGGGCAATAGCTTTAAGGATTCATCCAGGCTGGCCAGCTCCAGAAAATTTGGGTTTCATAAGAATTTGAAATTATTTTGAACAGAATTCTAGACACAATTCTCTCTCTCTCTCTCTCTCTCTCTCTCTCTCTCCATCCTCCTGAGCCTCAGTAGTCTTTAAGGTAGCATTCTTTCTTCCCATTTATTTTTCTTCTACTTCCTTCTATGGCCAGTGATGCCAGGGAAACAACTAGAACTCTGTGAGTGACAGTAGGGAAAACCATTTCAGACTAGAGACACCACGGTTGGGGTCCTGCAGGATGGCATTTAACTTAGAGTTTACTAACCAGGTCAGTGGTAAAAGCTTCCACCCACAGTTGGGAAGGAAAGTACTCATTTACCCATCCACTGATCGACGCACGCATTCAGCCAACATGGACGAGATAGTCACTACAGTCTTGACAGTGTTCCTTCATACTGGGAACATTTGAAAATGCCATACTTACAAAATGCCTTTTGCCCCAGAGCATATAATCATTGAATCAAACCAAAGGAACATGAGGACACATCAGACTTAGATGTCTCAGACCTTCCTTCTAGCAGGTTCAGGATGTACTCACAGAAACTGCTATTTTCCCTAAGATGTCTTCTGGAATTGTTTGGTTCTGATCAATGACTTGCTTGTAGAATTTGTCTAGCGAGGTGTCCATGAGCTCCATGCAGATCCACACGTCACCCTGAAGACCAAGCAGGCGATGAAAGAAAGACGTGAAAACAAGAAACACTCAACATTTCTCATCGAAAACCAGGGCATAAACACCAACAGGCACAAGCCTTTACTGTGCCTGCTGCCTGCCTGCTGCTGGCCTGACCTCTCATTAGAAAGGTCAGGAATTAGAGACCGGCTTGACGACTGAGGGGAGATCCCACAGTCCACACGCGGGTGCAGGAAAAGGAGAGGCAGAGCAAGGAAGTAAAATCAGCCAGTATGGGGCACAGGCAGGCTCAGTGAAGCCCGTGTAACCAAAAGTCCAGGGTATTTGAGATATTAAGGAATCCATACAAGTCAAAATATGCATCATGGATGATCTACAGGCCACCCATTGTCATGGAAGTGATTGTGACTCACAGGAACCCCATACAGGTTTCTGAGCCTTTGTATATCTTTATAACCTCACCTTTCTCCCAAGCAACGGCTAGTGGGTTTGAACCACTGATCCAGTGGTTAGCAGTCCAGCACTTACCCAACAGTACCACTAGGGATCCTTCGTTCTGCCAAAATAGGCCAACCAAACCAGACAAAAGGAGGCTATACACATTTGAAAATACCATACTCGTGGGGTGACTTTGCACCAGAGCACATGAATATTGCATAATACTTATTCCATTGCCTGAGTCATTGCGTGGTTCAGTGGGATCGAGTGGGTTCCTGTTCATAATGACCCTGGGCACATCAGAATGAAGCACTGCCCCACTCTCAAAATTGTGATTCTATTTGAGCCTATTTCTGCAGCCACTGAATCAACCCATCTTGTCTAGGGCCTTCCTGTTTCTTGCTGTCCCTCCACTTTACCAAGCAGGGTGTCCTCCTCCAGGGAGTACGTGAGGCGAATCTCACCCTCCTTGTCTCTAAGGAGCATTCTGGTTGTACTTTTTCCAAAAGAGCTTTGTTTGTTCTTTTGGCAGTCTACGGCACTTTCAATACTATAACCGGAGGCTTTGTAGTTTTCTCCCCTTGGGTTCTTTCAGTTGAAGAGGTGCTGAGCGTGTTGATCCTTTTTGGTTTGCTAACTCTAGGCCCTTTTCCCATTTCATTATTATATTGTATTTGTCTTCTTCAGAGGCCCTTTGACACGTTCCATTCAGCTTCTGGACTTCATCATTTCTTCCATTTGCCTTTGCTACCCTATGATTGAAAGGAAGTTTCCGAGCCTCTTTTAACATCCACTTTGATCTTTTCTTTCTTTCATATCTCTTCGATGACCTTGGTCTCTCTTCAGGAATGATGGTCTTGATGTCCTCCCATAGCTCATCGAGTCTCCTGTCATCAGTGCTCAGTGTGTCAAATTTGTTCCTGAGGTTCCTGAAATTCAGGTGGAATACGCTCAAGGTCATCGCTTGGCTCTTGGGGACTTGTTTTAATTTTCTTCTGCTTCAACCTGAAATGACATATGAGCAGTTTGCAGTCTGTGCCGTGGTCAGCTCGTGGCCCGGTTTTACCTGCTGATATTTCTCCATCGGGTCTTCCCACAGATGTTATCAATTTGATTTTGTGCCTTCCATCTGGAGCTGTGCACATGGATCGTCCCCATTTGTGTTGTTGGAGAAAGGTATTTGTGATGAACGAGTCACTGGTCCTGCAGAAGTCGACCATGTGATCTCCAGCTTCGTTTCAATCCCCAAGCCCAACTACTACACTCTCCTCTTCGATTGCACTCCAATCTCCAATTATGACTCATGCAGCTGGATGGTGTGATGGCCACAACTCACAGGACCCTTTGAAACAGAGTAGAACAGCCCGTGGGATTTCAAAGCTGTCATCTTTAAGAAAGCAAGGAAAGAAAGTGAGTTTGAAGGCCTGCCTTCAGTTAGCAGTTGAGTGCGTAGCCAACGGGCAAGCACTTAATGAAGGGCTCCCTTTATTAAGAGACATAATACCTTCATTATAAGCCATGCCAACAGAGAAGAGTGTCGTGAGTGTGCGGAGTGGTGCTTTGGTGGTCCGGGGAACTCTGTTATTGTTCTCCTGGGGGGAACTGGAGAATCACCTACCTCACGGAAGAGTGCGCCATAAAAGGTGACCGTAAAGGGACAGTCCACCGTCCTCATGGAGACGTCCAAATCCATCAGCAGCCTTTTCTGCTCCTGGCTGTTTACCGTGGCCCGGATCCGCTGAGGGGAAAGACGGGGATACATTTCTAGTTACTGCTCTGAAGATGAGTCTGTCATCACTCAGGCAAGGACCTGGGGGCCAGCCGTTGGGAAAATAGTACCAAAATGTAGCACACAACTTCCAGCAACAGTCTTTCAAATTTGCCGGGTGATTCACTCTTGGCATCTGGTGACAGATAAGGCCGAACGGTACTCACTGGATTTCCTGAATCCTCCCTAATAGGAAGCAAACGTGGACTATATGCATGTGGGGGAGTTGGCAAATGTCTAATGTTTAGGAAGGTCTTTTCCAAATTACAAAACCAGTCTGGTTTCCTTTACGATGGTTGTGCAAGGAGCCACCAGATAAATCAGTTCACTGCTGATTAGGAGTCTGTAGACACCAATAGCCACCCTATCCCCCGCCCCTTGGGAGATGGGAAGGGCTCTGATTAACAGGTAGCTGGCAGCATCCTATACTCAAACTCAGTGCCATCAAGTTGATCCTGACTCTTGCCAACCATGCAGGACAGGGGGATCTTCCCTGAAGGTGCCCCAGACTGGGATTGGAAAGCCCCACCTTGCTCCAGAGGTGTGGCTGGTCATTTCGAACTGCTGTTCAATTCTGAACCACTGTGCCACCAGGGCATAGTCAGAAAGCAATGGAAACCATTCCTTTCTACCTTTGGAGGGAAGAGCACCTGGCGTGCCATCAAAGAGATCATTAAAGAAATAGAGGTTTCTTTTATATGATGAAGTAAAATATAGATAACGCCACTTGTGTATTGTTTAGTCGATTATGACCCAATACCCATTTGACAGGGTAGAACCGCCTCATGGGGTTTCCTGCCCTGCCATCATTCCGAGAAGGAGCCTGGTGAAACAATGGCTACATGATCAACTGCCAACTGAAGGGTTGGCCGTTCAAACCCAGCAGTGGCTCCATGGGGGGGGTTGGGAGGGGGGCAGATCTGGTCATTTGGTCTAATGAAGATGGACTAATTCAGACACCCTCTGGGACAGTTTGGCTTGGTCATATGGAGTCATTATGCATCTAAATCAACTGGACAGGTCTCAACAACACCCACCTCTATGGGAGCAGATGGCCAGATCTGCTTTCCAAAGAGCCTCTCTGAAATAAGTAAATAAATATTCATTTGATGGCCATCAAGTTGATTCTGATTCACAGTTATGCTGTAGGGTGGTGTGGGACTGCTCCTATTGGTTTCCAAGACTGTCAATCTTTACAGGACTTGGAAGCCTCCTCTTTCTCCTGTGGAGGCTGGTCGTTTCAAACTTCTAACCTTGTGGCTGGTGGCCCAAAGCATAACCCAGGGATCTAGGTAAGTTACAATCTCTGACCTTTCCGTTAGTAGCTGAACATTTAATGGTTGAGCCACCAGGAACCCCGAACAGCATCCCCAGACCCTCTGCCATCCAGTTGATGTTGACTCATCGTGACCTGATAGGCCAGAGTTCAAATATCTGCTCCCTAAGGCTTCAGAGGCTTTGCAGGAAGAGAAAGCCTCCCCTTCCTCCTGCAGAACGGCTGACTGATTTGAACTGCTAACCTTCTCATTGACAGCCCCACGTGTAACCCATTATGACACCGGGGCTCCTTTGAATATCATTAGATGTTTGCTTCTTCCTCCCCGCCACATCCCCCACTTTGGCCTATGTAACCAAACGTCAGCAGAAGATCACACTTCAGTATACACCAAGTAAGAGAAAGCCATCTCCATTCTCCAAAGTAAAGGGGGCCCAAGCCACAAGCCACGGGACCAACCACATTCCCAACATAGGACCCAATCTACCAGCTAGAAGGTAGCTTCTCTACAGTCCTCCAGAACAGACTCCCTGGTTGGATGGAGCCTGAGATTACTACCCTTAGTCACCTTTCAGGCCTGAAATGGAACTGACCCTCTCGGCTCAAGTTTCAGCTAAACAATAGAGAGGCCTATAAAATAAACAATACCATTAAGGAAGGTCCACATTCGTTACAACAATGCACCAATCAAGATCCAAAGGGCAGTGTTTGTCCAAGAGGAAATTTCAAAAGAAAAGAAGGGGGAGGACAAAGCACCCCTATAGGACAGGGTAGAACTTCCCCTGTATGTTTCTAAGACTGTCACTCTTTAAAGGAGTAAAAAGCCTCTTCTTTCTCCCTCAAAGCTGCTGGTGGTTTTGAACTGCTGACCTCTCAGTTAGCAGCCCAACACGTAGCCCATGAAAGAGGAATGGAAATGGGAAATATAGGGAAGTGGAATGAATGGTGTTAGTTATACTGTGCATTGCAATCAAAGACATGAAACATAATGTGTATAAAGCGTTGAATGAAAATCTGACTTGCTCTATAAACCTTCACCCAAGTCACAATAAAAAGTTCTATAAATACAGACAATCCTTCTAGTATCTGTTCAAGAAATAAGCCAAAACTCAAAACTCATTGCCATCCAGTCGATTCTGACTCACAGTGACCTACAGGACACAGCAGAACTGCCCCTGTGACTTTCTGAGACTGTAAATCATTACAGGAGTAGAACGTATGTTGTGGGTGGTGGTTTTGAACTCCTGACCTGAAGCTTAGCAGCCGAACACATAAACCACTATGCCGCTAGGCCGTAATGGGTTATAATCCTAAACCAGGCAAAATGTAGGCAAATCAGCTCCTTTTCCAGAATTGGAGACAGAGCTCCTCTCCCTCAACCCATGGTTTTCAGGGCCAGATCCTTTTAAAACAAGGAAACCGTGAGAAAAGAGACCGAAGAAATACAACCCCCAAGGAGAGATTGTGAACGTCGGTTGTTGATGTGGACAATCAACAGGCCAACAAACAGACAAACAGCCAAACTAAAACCTCTGAGACAATGGAGGGCACTTCAATGTGTATTTAATGAGACTAATCAAGTATTGTTGGTTCCGTCCAGTGTCATAAAGGCGAGTAAGTGAAAAAATAAAAGCAGGGGGTGGGGCTTGTCCAAAACACCACACACCCTGCCACTGAGTCTATTTCCCGGACTCCCAGCAGCCCTGGAAGACGTCGAACTACAGGAAGACAGGGCCTCATTTTTCTCCTGTGGAGAAACTGGTAGTTTCACACTGCTGACCTTGTGGTTAGCATGCAACTTGTAGCTAGAAATGATCCCCCACATGTTTGGAAAGGAAATAATGTTCCGCCCCGCTTCTGTGACAGGGCAAGTGGTTCATACTTTTCTGAAACCAAGTTGCCTGTGACTTGCAGTGGAGATGGACAAGCGGACACACCACAGACATGAACTGCAGGGATTGGGGAGTCCCAGGGATACCTTCACTGCCATGATCTGCCCACTGGGCACATGCCGCATCTTCTCCACCACGCCGTACGCCCCTCGCCCCAGCTCCGTTATAGGCTCCAGGTCATCAGCCTTCACTTCAAAGTTCTACGAGAGAAAAGCAACCATGTGATGGCAAAGAGAGTAAATCAAGAGGGCCTGGGCCGTGCTGACCTCTACTTGCTCTCCCCGCACCCCCACCCCGTTTCTGGGGCTTCTGTTCTTGGCCAGAAGCATCCTGGAGGCCCGAGTGGCCACTGGGAGGAAGGAGCTGCAGGAAGGGCTGGAGGGGTTGTGGCTTCCAGCAGCACGCCACCTGCCTGTCACGGGCAGCACAAGAGGTCCTCTGAATGCCCAGCCAGCTCCCAGTTGGCTTAGTTTCAGCTGGTCCACACCGTGGCCCTCCAGCTGTGCCCCTGCATTAGGTTTCGAAGCCATACTGCTCACCCCTGGCAAGCGGGTCAATGGCTGCGTTTTGAGAAGTCATCCACTCTTCTCGAGCATGTCCTTGGCATCAGGACCCACGGAGCCTGATTTCAATTCACCATTCAAAATAGGAAGCGCTCCACCTCGCCCCACCAGTTTTGGCTTGGAGCCCATTTTAATCCGTGCGCAGCCCGTGTGCATCAGAGCCGAAATGGGCTCTCGAGGGTGGCCAGTGGTGGATGCTTGGGAAGCAGATCCCCAAACACCACCTCCCGGTGACTGCTCCTTATGGATGGCAAATACACTTTCCCAACGTCAGTCAGAAAGCACGTGCGTACAACTGGCGGGCTTGACTTTGCTCACCTGATTTCCAATAGAAATGCAAGCCTTGGAGTCTAAATCCCGGGGTGGCCTGCGAAAGAGAACAGAGCAGAGACAAAAACATTAAGGGCTGAGTGAAACCGGCTCTTCCCCGTCCGATGCGACAGCAGAGATGTTCTCTTAGCCAGGAGGTGGCCGGGTACATGACACAGAACTGGGAGGGTAAAGTGCTCCTCTCATGTAACAGCAATATGAACTCAAGTAAGTTCGTCTCTTTGAGCTTCCTTTGCTTCGTGACCATGGGGATATTCATAGTTCTACACTGTGAAGTATCAGTGAGTATGAAATGCAATAGCCCGAGTAAAATGATTAGAATGTTTTGTATCAGTATTCATACTAATGAGTCATATAAATGCATGTATGTGTAGGTGCATATTAACAGGAGAGACCAGTCCCTGGAGTAGGACATCATGCTCGTTAAAGCGGAGGGGTGGCAAAAAAGAAGGAGTCCCTCAATGGGATGGACTGATACGGTGGCTGAACCCACGGGTTCGGGCATAGGAACAATTGTGAGGATGGAGCGGGGCTGGGTGGTGGTTTGTTCTGTTGGGCACTGGGCCGCTTTGGGTCGGAATTGACTTGACGGCACCGAACAACAACATGTGTGTGTGTGTTTGTCTAAATCCACCGCCACGGACCTCAAGCCTATTCCGACTCATAGTGGACCCACATCAAGATTTCCAAGACCACACATCTTTATGGGGGCGGATACCATCATCTTTCTCCCAGGGCTGGTGGGTTTGGACCCCCAACCTTAGTTAACAGTTGTCTAATGGTTACCCGACAGCACCACCAGGACTCCGTGTGTGTGTAATTATGTAGCTAATTACAATCGTCAACGTCAATCATTTTATTTCATCCCAGAGCATTAATATTCTTAATTATTCTATCTTTTTAACCACAGTTGTTTTTTAAAAGACCAGTCATTGGCATATGATGATTTTGAACTCACAAAACTCAGAACATCAGAATTCTAACTCCGATCTCGTCTGCTATTGAGAAGAAAAGGTCCAGAGGAGTGACCTTTGGCTGCATGACTAAGCCGGGTCTCCTTCCTTGCAGCTCAGCATACTTGCTATATGATGTTGAATCAAACCCAGGGGTACCCCAGCCATCCATACACAGCCCCAGGGGGGTCCGTGACTGCTCATATGACTCTACAGAAGAGTACAAAGTTCCCTTGTGTGTATGTATCTGCACTGTTTCAAGGCAATCTTCACTGAGAAACACCCCCTTAGAGAACGGCTTCAGTCATGTATCTAACAAGCCATTTGCTGTGAAGTGAACTCTGATTCAGGGCAACACCTGTGTCAGAGTAGAATGGGGTGTTTTCAGGGGCTGGTTTTTCAGAAGTAGATCTTCAGGCATTTCTTCAAAGGCACCTCTGAGAGGACTTGAACTGCCAACCTTTCACTTAGCCATATGTGCCAGCCAGGACTTCCTTGAAATGAACTGCAACCCTGGACGAGCGTTTCTGTGAAACAAATGCAGCCAGGGGGCCCTGAGAAAAGTAATGCATGCCAATAGCCATGGTGTAATATGATCAAAGACGTAGCTACAGCCAGAGGCTGAAGCCCACAGAAGCTGGCAAGCAGAACACAGGCAAACACTGAGGACCCAAGGGACCCTACAGAGATGTCTCCTGTCAGAAGTGTCCCTAAAAAAATGCGAAAGCTGGCAAATGACTGAGATGCAGTCAATGAGGAGGAGTTAGTCTCATTCACAAACGGTGCTGACATTGGATTTCCATTTGCAGAATGAGACAGGACCCATGTCTCACGGCACATGCAACACTGAACCCAAGATGGATTAGAGACCTAAATGTATCCAACCAAACAAGCCAACTCACTGTCCTTAAGTGGATGCTGACTCATAGCAACCCTATTGGACAGGGTAGAACTGTCTTGTGAGTTTCCAAGCTCTTTACGGGAATAGAAATCCTACCCTGCAACTATAAAGATCATCAGTGAAAAAAATAGGGACAAGGTTTCAGGGCCGTAATACATGGCATAAACATGCTATCTAACATAAGGCAGGACACACACACACACACACACAGAAGACAAAATAGATGGCAGGGCCTCCTAAACAAAGACATTTGTGCCCATCATAAGACTTCCTCAAAAGAGCTAAAAGAGAACCCACAGATTTGGGGCAATGAAGTATTGGGCAAGGGACTAAGATCTACAATCTATAGGGAACTGCAATGCCACAAGGAAAATAGGAATAATGTGATTACAAAATGGGTGGAGGACATGGACAGTTCACCAAGAAGACATCCAGGTGGCCAACAAACATGAACAAATGCTGGTGACCCCCAGCCATTCCAGAAATGCAGCCCAAGACAGCAACGAGACACCACCTGTGTGAGGCCGGGTGGACTAGAGAAACAAATCCAGTGATACTCATAGATGTGTAAGAAAGAGCTTTATATCAAGAAGTAATCATATATCAAGAAAACATCCCAGCCCAGTCCAACTCAAGCCCATAAGTCCCGATACTAGTGCATAAGTCCCTCGTCAGACTCACTCAACCACAGGCAATGATGCAGAATGCAGGAAGAACAGAGGCCAGTAGCTGCAATGTCTTGTGGATCCAATGGCAGTGGATGCATCTCCAGGGCTCTGGCAGAAACTGGGATCCACTAACAGAAAGGTGGAGGCAGAGAGAGAGGGGGACATTCCCAGGGCCATCTTTCTGAGAAAGCCACACCTACAAGGACCCACCATCAGGCTGTGACCTGATTGACAGGCTAAATCCCACCCCTACACCTTTATATATCTTCAAGTTGACATGCAATTACGTAACTCTCACACCAGCATCGACAGCAAAGTCCAAAAAGCAGGACATAACACATGCTGGTGAGGGAGCAGAGAGATTGGAGTCCTCATACATTGCTGGTGGGGCTATAAACAGACAGAGCCACTGTGGAAAGCAGTGTGGCGTGTCCTCACAGAAGTAGGAACAGAAATACCATGAGGAACCAGCACAAGAAAATACGTACACGCCCCTGTATATCGCAACACTGTCCACAATAGCAGGACTATGGAAGCAGCTTAAACCCCATCAGTGGAAGAATGGAGAAATAAACTTTGCTACATTCCAACAATGGAACACTACGTATCCCTAAAGAATAATGATGAAACTGAAACATTTCTTGACACGATGGATTTGGGCATGTGCGAAGGAAGTTAGTCAAGCACCAAAGGACAAATATCATATGCCATAAATATGCCACATCATATGCCACAAATAACACTGCCATAAAAGTGAAAATTCAAGATAAAGGTCTCTATCCCCAAAGGAACACACTTTGATTGTTACCAGTGGGGGGAGGGGAGGGAATAGGAGAAAGGGAAAATAACAGACCGTGGGGAAGAAAGCCGTGAACTTGGGTGAAGAGGAAGATAATCTACCAGCAGGCATGCTCTCGGGAGGTTAGAGAAGGTATCTAACCATTGAATACAAACATAGGACATGAAAACCCAACTCAACACAAAGCTTTTAAAAATACACCAATGACTAAAAGTGGGTGAAGGGAGATGTCAGACAATGTAAAGAGATTATGGCAACATAATCTCCGTTTAGAAGTGATCAAGGGTTCATGAGGGAGGCGGGGAGGGAGGGGAAACTATGAGGAGCTGATGCCAAGGGCTCAAGTGGGAAGCAAATGTTTTGAGACTGATGATGGCAACAAATGTACAAATGTGCTTGACACCATGGATGGATGTATGGATTGGGATAAGAGTTGTACGAGCCCCCAGGAAAATGACTTAAACAATACAAATGAAAACGAAATGAGTAGGGGCGGGAAGGGGGGCAAGGGGGAGGGAAGAAACTCCTCACCAAGGACATTGTCCCCCAACTCGGCTTGTTCTGGTCGACCCTTCTTCCAAAACGCACTAAATAATAAGAACGAACTAAGGCACAAACAGGCATTTAAATGAATTTATCATTTTAAGGGCAAACCAGCTCTCACCTCAAAATCCCCTGACTGTGGGCAAGATACTTAGAGCCTTTCTATGTGAACGTAAGACTAAGGGCTGGCAGGGACCCACACGCATGCGCGCGCACACACACACACACACATACACACATTTATTTCTTTGTTCGTTTTTGCAATTTATGTTCCCGAGCAGGGACTCAGCCTTCAGAAAAGCTTACCAAAGGAATCGGATTTCTAAAATTTTGATTTCTCCTTCTTAAACTTTTATGGGATTACTATGAGTCAGAATGGTTTCAATGGCAATGAGTTTGGAGCGTTGGTGGGATAGTGGATTCTGCATTGGGCTGCGGACTGCAAGGTCAGCAGTTCGAAACCACCAGCTGCTCTGAGGGAGAAAGATGAGGCTTCCTATTCCCATGAAAAGTTAAAACAGGGGTGCTCAATATGTCGATCGTGATCTACTAGTGGACCGCAAATGTAGAGTGGGTAGATCGCATGGCATTAAAAAAAAATAAATGTAAACTTATCATCAATCCTGTCACTTAATTGTTATACAGTGCAGCCAATCAGATGCAGTCTTAGGTGTCAAGCGCATGTGCAAACAACTGCGCTAAGTGCAGCCAAACTGACAAGCTAAGTTATTGCCAATTTTCAGACCTTGGTTTTCTTCTCTTAAATGTAAGAAAAGGTATTGAAATGAGTGGGGGAGCCGGACCAAGTAAGAAGACAAAAACGTAGCACTTTCATAGGGAATGGGAGATTTTGACACTACAAGCCGACATTCAGCTCACGTCCAGAGTGCATGAGCAGTTCTGGAACTTACTCGCAGAGGGAAAGTACCCAAACATGAGAAAATGTGCTACCTCCTTGACTACATTATTCAGCTCTACTTATTTATGTGAGTCAGCCTTTTCCCACACCAAGATCATTAAGTCCAAGTACCGTTCCCCCATGACTGACGATCCTTTGGAAGTGTGCTTGAGGCTGGCTGTCAGCAGCTACTTACTGTCCGGACTATGCATCCCGGCTCATTCCATTCCATGCAAGTCATCAGGGTAAACTCCGGTAGTAACAAAAAAAATGTA